CTTTTTCTTATCAATAGGCTACGAATCAAAAGTGATGTACCCCAGGACACCATTTTTGGTACTCTATTGGATTACCGCGACTGTCTAAGCCGTTGAAACTATTGTTAGTAGATGATGTCAGTATCTGGAGAATAATAAGTAGTGAAGTTGGTCATTGCGATCTGCAAGCTGACCTAAACAAATTGTTGGATTGCCTCAAAGTCGGGGCTTGGAAGTTAATTCTATAAAGATTGTGTTAATGAACATTGGACACTGCAATATTTGCCAGTATATTATCAACAGTGAATCACTTCCATGCGTGCAGGAATGCAAAGACCTATGGGAGACAGTAATTCACGAAATAAATACAACTGAATGTTGCAACGCAGCAGACACCAAAGGTTTTCGAAAGTTATGGTCACCTCGCTGAGCATTCAAATGCTTTAACGAGGAGATGTATCGGATTTTATATGCCACCTATGTAAGACCACATCTTGAGTGTTGTATCCAAGCTGCCAATCCATGTCTTAATAAGGTGTTCGGCATGTGGGGAAAAAGTGAGTGATGGGCCTTTACAAATTTCCTTTACGATGAGCAGTTATAATGCCTGAACCTTGTTTCCTTAAAGTACCTTCAGACGCCAGTTGACATTTAAATGGTATTCCATATCTTTTATAATGTCTATGATGTTTGTATGTCTTATAAATATAAATAATATTAGTTTATTCATAGTCCATAGAAGTTACCCGTAGTTTAGTCTTCACTAGGATAAAACAGACATCTTGGTAGAACAAGTGGTATCAGCTCTATCAGTGAACAATTTAAAAGAGTAACTTAACCTTTATTGGAAAACAAAATGCAACGATTAGCCTAGGCTCACCGAACTACTATATTAAATAGTGAAGAGTATAGACTGATGTACAAGAAAATCTGACCAAAATATATATTGAAGTCGGATCAAATCATTTTACTTTCACAAACCGATGAGACATATTTCCGTGCGTATACTGTGCGAAAATGTTTTAAACGTAGAATTCTTCACTTTGTTTGCTTAATTCGGAAAGGTCTTGGGATTATACTTAAAAGTAAATTGTCGTAATGACAAAAAAATTTCTCTAGAGATTTTTACCATATCACGCATCATTATGATTATATCACTTTCATCAATTCGGGGATGAAAGCTACCAAGCGTATTGTGGTGATCGCAAATCAAATTTAAAATTGTCTTAAATTGATTGTTTCCGGAAGAACTTACAAACTGTCAAAATGATGCACCCATAGTATTTCAACAGTTCGACTTTCAAGTGCCTAGCAATTATACTAACAGAATTACACAAGCATATGATAAAATTGTCTCACTAGCTGATGAAGAGATTGTGGTGTTTGAATTAACTAATGATTCTTTTGTACTTGTTGAATGCTCGATTTCGAACTCTAAATACAATACATCCGTGCTTGTCTTACTTCTTAATTCGATTGCGTTATTTTTGGGATTCCTAGTTCATTCTACAATTCAAATATTATAGAGATACGACTACTCTGTTTTCAACATGCGATCTGACGTAACAATCGATTCAGGTACCAGATAATTTCCTATTCCACAAACTTCATGAGTGCTATCCACTACTCCTACAACCATGTGTTGGTTAAGTAACATCCTGTGAATATAGTCTGATTCTACACTCCCAGTTTATATCTTTATTCGGAGGTATGGTAATAAAGTTTTCTGATATTGAGCGTTCTCAAATATATTTATGAACCGTTACGAAGTTGCACACCAATAAATTTAAGATCTGTCGTTCTTTCTCACAGCGCACCGAAAATCCATTGAAGGGGACATTCCTTGCTCAATTAATCATAGTTTATGCCTGTCGACATGCATTCCTGTTCAATTTCACGAAGTTCTTAGACAAAAGTATAGTGGGAGCTAGGATTTACAAGTAGTTCTTTTTCGAACGATCACTGAATTGCAAATATCAATTTCTATCAATCTTATTTTAATGAGATTGTCGTAGTATGTTGAATATTCAGAAATCAACAATGAGCTTTCGTGATCTGCCTGGCGATTTTTCATCAATTACAATCTGCGATTTAACTGATGTTTAGCATATGTGGATATGTTTTTCATATGTTGTTGATACAATAACTAATTTTTAAGGCAGTAATTCTGACCGATTTTTTAAATGCTGTGCATCAGAAACAAGGTTATGGCGTTTATTCAAGTTTTAAATCCAGGACATTGAGTCGAAAGCACGTCGATGATTTTCCAAGAACATAAGACCATGAGAATACATATAAATACCAGAGGTAGATGGGTGCTCCGCGTGAATCACTAGAACAAAATACAGAATTGAATGTAGTTTTCTGACACAGAAAGTTATAACGTCCTGCTCACATTTGAGTCTGCTTGCATTTATTATCGTTAAATTCTTCAACAAACAAATTTCATGGGGTGTTGATTGAACAACAACAGTATATCTGTCAGTCCTGTATGAAAATATATTGTTTGTAACTTGGTGCAGCGTACAAACATATTCCTCATACTAGTCCGAATGTTAGCCGCCTAAATCACTCGATAACCGATTCAATTTACATTAAATGTGTAGCGGTAAATAAATCTCTAAAATCAATCGATCTGTAAGTTTTCGACATTTGATGCTGATGGCATTAGTTTTACTGGACTCATCTAGCTGATTGTGCTCGGTCAGGCAATTACACCAGATCTCGAGTGAGTTATCCGAGCTTCGATTCTCCTACAACCACTAGCCAGTTTAGATTAGTCACTTCTCGATATATCGATATTTTATCAAATATATCTTCCAACCGTTTTAGCTTGCAACTTCCGATTTCACTGGGTTGTCATATTTCGATAATGATAGTATATACTGGGTATGGTGTTGTCAAACTCCGGATACTTGCGGCACCTCTAAATATGTGCTTAGTATTTTCATCAGTTCAATCGCTTTTTTCTCATCCTTGTTTTCTGTTTGATAATCTGCTTTATACACTCTTATTCACATTCGCTCTATAAACTTGCACCTTTGTTATCTGCGCTGCACAATAGCGAATTGCAATCCATTGTCCACATTGTTTTCTGAGTTCCGTACCAGCTAGGAGTTTTTTTAATAAATTTTATCCGAAAAAGTGATATTCAAAGCCTTAGGAATTACCTCAAATATATTCCGATTCAGTGTAGTATAGAAGGAATTTGAAAATCTTTATAAAGCGTTCTCAAATAGTGATAGCCGGAATAAGCGATGATATATGAAGTTATCAAACAGCAGTCGCATACCACGAATACCACAATATGAAATGTTTCATACAACATGCTAATATTTTCAAATATCAAAAATGTTGAATTATTTACGAAACATGTGCCGAAATCAGCTTGAAGGATCCCAAATCAGCTACGCAGAAGGACAAACATTATCGGACACTGGTTTGACACTCACTAAATATCAGCGAGTAAGAACTTTAAAAACTCACGAACACCCCTTTGTCGTATTAGTCTTAACCACAATGTCCCCAAAGCTGAACATGAGATAACTTGGAAAACAGATATTCAGTGCGTTGAGAAGGTCGACTATGGAGAACCCATTTAATAGGACAGTATGGCTTAGCCTTGCAGGTGTGATCAACTTTGTGTAACTTATTCCTCTTATTCATATTGAATATATTGTTCTATCTCCAACCTAAGTGTGTTCTTGTGTAACGCTAAACATTACATTGCTGGTGTTTATGATACAACGAGCCAGAATAGATAGTGATGCGATTTTGACTTATTATCTTTTAGATTAGGTAGTCACATCGCGACAAATCTATACATTTTGGACCAGGTCTATTATGATAGAAGTACCAATACCGAATTAGGACTTAATTCTACAACATTAAAACAACCTGTCGTTGCAATTGCCCAGTTTGCCACGGTATTTAAAGACTACGAAACTCTGAGTAATTGCGTATTAGGAATAGAGTCTCAGAGAAGAGGCCGGAATTTTGCAGTAATTTACATATGAGTACATAGAAATTCACAACTTGAAGCGAATCTAATGACATGAAGTTGATTTGATGAAGCGAAAAAACATCGAAATTCGCCAAATCCAATGTTCACAAATGTTCATCAGAATAAAACTGTATAGTGCTGTATCAAGACGAATGCACTCGTTATGAATCGACAAGTAGTACACTGACTAGAACTAATGAAATGAAATGACTAGACTACCACCAACTGCACATCATCAAATACAAGTAACCGTACCAAGACAACGTGAAGAGAAAGTGAAGAAATCAATTGATTTATATAAGCTAGAGTAAAATGATATTATGAATATTGGAAAAGTTTATGTTCAGCACTAAAACAAACTGAAACCTTTTCAAGGTTAAATTTCATTGTATATAAATCTTTGAATCGGAAAGCAGTTTTCGTGTTGCATAAGATACCAGTAAGTTCACTATATTGCCTGAAAGGATTTCTTTTTATTTGACTGTATCGGCGTTGCTCGTGTTACAGAGTTGATTGAAAGTCTGTATGTCCAAAGAACACTTAAGAATTACAACTCCGTGATTTTTAAGGGGGTAAAATACTAGATAATAAAGTATTGTGATTTGTAAGAGCAAAAAGAAAAGATTTTCCGAGTCACTCTATCTATTATTCGTATATTTTTCTCGCGAGCGTGCGTTGATAAGTGGAACTTGAGAACACTATGAAAACAGATTCATTTAAAATATTCAAATTAAAATACACCTGAAAATTCAGGTTTATAAAGAAACTGTTCAGACACCAAAGAGAAAACGGTTAGAGGAGATAAGTTGTTCATAAAATTTTTAAAAATAGCCTATTAGTAGTACGACATTTATTTGTCCGAAACCAAATTTTACAGAGCAGTTAATAAACAAAACTAAATTAATTCTCGCATTCATTTGCCTTTCAGCATTATTCAGACATCTTTTGTTGAAAATGTAGGTCTGCTGAACTAATATTATTTACAAGTAAATGTAGGTCCAAGCAAGTGGACGATAGCATGAATAATGTTAAGAAAGTTGCAGACCATTTACTTAAATCAGTACGTATTAAACCAGAAATCGGGATCATTTGTGGAAGTGGTCTGGGGAAGTTGGCTGATGGGGTGAAAGATAAAACCGTAATTCCATACAAAAAGATACCCAACTTCCCTAAATCGTCTGGTAAGTAGTTGCATACATCCAATAAGCATTTGTAGTTATTGGACACCCCGGGAACCTGATATTTGGAACTCTGAGCGGCCGAAAAGTAGTCGTAATGCAAGGACGGTTTCACATGTACGAGGGATATACCAATGACAAGGTAATACATTGGTGATGGTCAATTATCTCTTTGCCATAGATCGCTCTTCCCATACGTGTGATGAAGTTATTGGGGGTCAAAATTCTTATGGTTAGTAATGCTGCTGGTGGTCTCAACAGAAGTCTCAAACTTGGTGACTTCGTGATCTTAAAAGACCATATTTATCTTCCTGGACTGGGATTAAACAATGTTTTGGTCGGACCGAATCATGAGGAGTATGTTACATTGTGTTTAATTTCGTTTCTGTAGATTTGGTCCTCGATTCCCAGCACTTTCGGATGCCTATAGCAGTGACCTGCGAAAACTGGCCATGCAAGTAGCTGTAGAAAACGGATTTGGGGATTCGGTTCACCAAGGTGTTTACGTGATGAATGGTGGTCCTTGTTACGAAACACCTGCTGAGTGCACAATGCTTCTTAACATGGGATGTGATGTAGTCGGTAATTAAACAACCATTTATTTACTGAATTTAAATGACATTCAAACTGCATGCTTTAAAAATAGAATGTTGATGATGTTTTTTTAGTTACAGGATACATTTTTTACGCTAGCTTTAATCGGTTAAGCATTTTCCGTGTGATCAACGGATAACAGGTCACATGGAAATGTTTCAGCTCCATGCATACTTCAGAGACATAGCTAACAGTGTATTTATTTTGGGGCAACTTCAAAACTGTATCAGTCTGATTGTGACTATTAACTATGGTTTATTTTGTTCAAGATATTAAATCTCAGAAATCCATTTAAAATGAAACATGTATGTTATGGGAACCACAAAATATCAGAACAATGATCGATTGGTATTTAGAATACTTTAGGCAGATATTTAGTCTAAATCAAAGTACCTTGCATGAGTGAAATACTTACTCAAATTTTCTCAACGAACATCAGTTCAAACGCGGGGAACTGTCTGTCCTTTGACTTTCGATGAAACCTCTGAAGGTGATTGCAAAAGACACCTTGTATATCACCAGTAAGATATTTCGATGTTCTGGAACAGTCCGGTATTTAATAACCGTTTTCATCCAGACAGTGCCTGTCTGCAGTCAATTATCGTTCAATTGACTGATCAAATAATGAGAAAACCTTACGTCGTCAGATTAGATATGTTGAGTGCTTTGAAGTAACGTGCTTCTCACTCAGTTTAATGAGAATAAGTTGCAAGTGGCGTGTCTTCACTCCAGATTTCTGTATTGTTTAAGAAAATACGGTAAATGCTCATGTGATATTTGAGAGCATGTTCTTGGTTGACTGTTGGCGAATTTATATGCATTTACTGTCGATCCAACTCAGAATGTTGTAGATGTTTAATTCATCATTGTTCGAATATTCGACAAGTAATTAAATAATCATGTAACAAACGTCACTTAGTAATTAACTCACATCTTTGATCGTGTTTAGGTGGGATACATTCTCTTAATTCGAAGAAAAACAGTCACTCTCTCATTTTCGTCTATTTATTTGCAGAGCATTAAGTCTATGTGCTAACGCTTATCTCACCATGTATTACAGGTATGAGTACGATTCCGGAAGTTGTGATTGCTCGGCACTGTGGAATTCAAGTGTTCGCCGTTTCACTAGTTACAAATATAAGTGTGCTGGATGTTGAAAGCAGTGTGAAGGCGAACCACGAAGAAGTCTTGGCCACAGGTGCTCAACGTGCTGAATTGATGCAATCATGGTTTGAAAAGATAATCGAAAAACTGCCCAAGGATTGAATTGGATGTTACGCTTAATATTTTGTGCAATGAATTATACTTTGCGAAAATGTTTCTATGTTTGTACCTTTACTGAAATGAATATTTTAGCTTATAAAGTGCTTTGTCTAGAAAACGACTTTGTTCTGTCTGTCTTTAGTAAATTTCATATGTGAGAACCGCATCGTTGACCTCATCGTGTTGATGCAGTAATGATGCCGTTGAAATATTTATGCGGTTTAGTTCGTATACATTCTATCGACAAATCACGTCAATACGTTGTAGATATCAAACGTTGAATACGAATTTTATTTATGATACTCACATTTTAAACATGTTGAAATTGAACGGCAGACAAGGAATGAAAGATGTAGCGAATATATGGAGAATCGGCGTTTGGTAGTGCACTGACTCGACGAACAATGAAATGACTCGGCTTTCGTAGACCACTTAAGAAGTACAGAAAGTGGATAGACAAATAAATATTATCATACGCATGAGCATGAAAAATGATTAAAGCCGCAGTTGAACAAGTATCAACAGTAAATTTATAAGTGACGGAATAACTGAACTGATTAGACCCATTTATCTGTCAAAAGTCTGAGTAAATCACGTGGCACTATAACAGTAGTTAATGCTGTTTAGATTTTCTTGTTTTGATTGTTAACGCTTTGTCGACGATGAAATACAACTGGTATTTTCAGTTGACCATTGCTGTACTGAGACTAATACAACTAAAATCGAAGTACTCAACTTTGTGTTATGTGCAATCCTATGAGGAGAAAGCATAGGTGTTAAAGCTTAAAAGAAAATCAGAGTCGCTAGAACCACTTGATTAAGTTATCATATTCAATAATCTCTCACTAACTGTAGTTATAGATAATTATCGCTCTAATAAACTCATGCATTAATGAAACTTACAGTTATGCACTGAAGACAGAATAGCACTGTCAAACTACAACATGAGCGTGCTATCACATACTGTCTACTGGTTTAAATACAAGTTTAGAAATCGGATCACATCACATTCAACTTGGATGTAACTCTTAGATTTTATGTATGATCAGAGAACATTTTTATAATTAAACAAACCAAAATAATCGAACTTGTGCTTTGCATTATTACGGGCTGTAATTTTAAATCATTCGCATGAATGAGAGTTTTGAAAACATTTGAACTTCCGTTTATATTTTTCAACAAAATATTTTATTCGTTTTGTGTAATACCATGTAAGGAAAACAACACGACATTTCGATGATTTGGAAATAACTAAAAACATAATCGATTATCAAAACCAGTCAGAATGAAGGGTTTCTGTTGAGATTGGTGTAATTATTAGGTTCTATTCGTCTCTGATTGATCACAATGAGGGCATCATTGAAAGCTGAGAAGTACTGGAAATCTATTTCGTTTTATTGTGGGACTTCTAAGGAGTGGATATATCTGACCCCGTAAGACATCCAACGTAGAACATGCGGGTTTTGTGGTATGTGTTTTATGTAAACCACATCTTGAACACATTTCTTCAAAACACTTTCAACTAAAATAAAATAACCAGCCTATTTATCGAATATTTCAACATATGATAATTATTGCACTAATAAGCTCATGCATTAATGGAATTTACAGTTATGCACTGAAGACGGAATAGCATTACCAAACTACAACATGAGTGTGCTATCATATACTGTCTACTGGTTTAAATGCAAGCTTATCTATTATATATCTCAAAATACTTCTAAAATTTTGAAAATGCTCACAACTGTCAATTCAGGCGTATTGACGGTGAAACTGTTGTTACCGATGACATGAAATGATCATCACATCATGTTGAGAATTGATTGAAAATGGTTAGTATCGTTAAACACTCTTCTAGTAGTTCTAATGGTCAGGGGTTTCAATGCAAAGTGCTGAAGAACTTATGTTCGATCCTACTATGATTCGTAGGAGTTCACTGTTGATGAACACCATGATAGACGAAACGGTCGTTCAGTGCTCCATTGATTTTTACTAACAACTCAAGTAAGATCAATCCGTGACGAATTCAATCCACAAAAGCAGATTATTGGTGAGAAATATTGTACATTCCTTATGTAAACTATTGTGAATAATAGTGATAGGCTATAATGATTATGTTTCTACGATGAATTGGAACTGCCTCGTTTTGTTAATGAAGAATGTTGTATATCAGTGTGCATTTCATAAATAAGTAGGGCCATCTATCCCTTAAATTGTGACATGTTGGAGACATTCACAAATTATATTTGAAGATTGTTCTTTTAAGTTAGTTAATATGCTAGAAATTTCTTTCATCATCCACGAAATTATTAAGTAGGTGATTGACCAAATCGAATCCTCTGGATAACTGCGACAGACAACACACCGAATGGTGCATATCACTCGAGTTGTCAGTCTTTTAAATCATTCGATGAGTAGAAATTGTTCATCTAAAATCAGTGTTGTAGTTACGTAAAATTTTTCGAACAATTGAATCAGATATATATTTGACAGTGCATGAGTTTACAAACAAATAGAATGGAAGAAATAAAAATAATATACTTGTAATATGCCAATGAGTAGAAAAATTAGATTTTGTGACGGTTCGCGACTCATTGTAAGCCACCTCTTCGGGGAATGAAGGAATAGAAAGAAAGTGTTTCATAGAAAAACGAAAATTCATGATCAAATGAATGATCAAAATATAATGAATAATGACGCTTGAGTTAGAATGAATGCTGTTTAAACCAGTTGACAGTTATTTCATCTTGAATAGTTCCTTATGAACAGTGCATGTCGATTGCTGTTTCTTCTATGAATTGAAGTTAATAGTTAAAAAGTATTGTTTTTCACTCTCAGAATTGTAGACGCACTTACAATTGGTCAATTTTATTTAGGTTCTGACAGAAAGTACTATAACAGCACAGTGTTTGAATATGTGGTGTTATTGTTTTAATTTATGGCGAATAGTATGAAAAATAATTACTTTCTACGTTGACCAAGTGATATATAACTATAGTGATGAAGAGGAAGTTTACCTGTTCTGCGTACTACAAAGCCAAATAAACTAATCAAACTAACGTTTCGAACTGAGCTCCTTGACCAAGCTATATAAAATTTGTAAGTTATGATGCTATAGTTAAGTTAGCAAGAACATTGTTAGGATAATGTACTATGGTTAATTGTCTGCACAGTGGCTTTCGGTGATTGTTGAACTTTATTGTTAATATCATGAATCATTTTGATCTATAATTAACTTAAAAACAAGGAGGCAACTAACAACTGCTTCATACTGATATTCTTCTAATATAAGCATATATCCTCGACCCTACCGGTGATTAAACATAAAACACTCATGTGTCGCGTAGATATTTCAAATTGTAGGCCGAAGTGCTGAGAGCTGTTAGTTTACATAGCTAAGTTCAATCAATCCGGCATACTAATCAACCTACAACTAATATAATTGGACAGCAACTGCCTCACAATTGACGCAACTGAACGCTACTGATCACGTCTTCTTATTAGAACTCTTTGGAACTACCATTCGAATTTATTATCTGATGACCACTTGATTATTGTTGCGACAAAGGATTCGCATGTTTGTACTGTTGACTCTGACAACCTCTAAATAGAATCCATCCAATATCTGATATATGGTTCACAAGATAAAAAATACAACACATTCCCAATAAATCTCATCATAGCAAAATGTGTTATGAGAGACATTTTGATTTCGGAGACATACAATCTTTGTTATTAAATTAAAGTTAATGTATGCATATTCAGTGTAGTTTTACCTTATTTGTAACATCACTTTACAGAATTTTGACAACAGCTGAATTGGATATTTCTTTTCTAGACACCAACCGAATTCAAATTCACTTGTTGGAAACTGTAAGGAATATTACTTACTTACTTATTTACTTACTTACTTACTTACTTACTTACTTACTTACTTATTTACTTACTTACTTACTTACTTACTTATTTACTTACTTACTTACTTACTTACTTACTTACTTACTTACTTACTTACTTACTTATTTACTTACTTACTTACTTACTTACTTACTTACACCTTTTACTCCCAATGAGGCATAGACCGCCGACCAGCATTCTCCAACCCACTCTGTCCTGGGCCTTTCTTTTTGCTTCTATCCAATTGTTGTTCATTCTTCTCATGTCTGTCTCCATTTCCCGACGTAATGTGTTCTTTGGTCTTGAGAATTCCATGTGAGGGCTTGCCTTGTGGTACAGTTGAATGCTTTCCTCAATGTGTGTCCTATCCACTTCCAGCGCTTCTTCCTGATTTCTTCCTCCGCTGGGATCTTGTTTGTTCTCTCCCACAGTAGGTTGTTGCAAATAGTGTCTGGCCAACAGATCCGAAGTATGTTGCGTAGACAGCTGTTATTAAACACTTGTATCTTCTGGATGATGGCTTTCGTAGTTCTTCAGGTTTCCGCCCCATACAGTAGAACTGTTTTGACATTTGTATTGAAAATTCTGCCTTCGGTGTTGGTTGACAGTTGTTTTGAGTTCCAGATGTTCTTCATTTGTAGATATGCTGCTCTTGCTTTGTCAATCTTCGCATTCACATCTGCATCAGATGCACCGTGTTTATCAATGATTCTGCCCAGATATGTAAAGGTTTTTACATCTTCCAAATCTTCTCCGTCAGTTGTGATTGGATTGGTGCATGCTGTGTTGTATCGGAGAATCCTGCTTTCCCTTTGTGTATGTTTAGACTCTTCTAAATGAAGACCCTCCGACTCTCAGGACAGAGTTTAATTGATTTGAATCATTTTTTCTGGTTAGCATTTTCTTGGTGAGTTCGTTTTCTCCTGAATTGGGTTGCTCACTACATGTCTAACCCTCTTCCTTTATTCAAACTTGTAGCCGGCAGTAGCCCCTCTGAGGGGCTCCAGTTCGAGTAAAAGAATAATAATCCGATATCATAATTGAGATAATTTCTTTTGCTTATTATTAGAAAAAATCTAACCGGAGAAACAAGATCTCATTACACT